AAGACGTGCCAGACAGAATTGGCGAAGGTGGCCGCGACCGTGATGGGCGGATCTTAGCTGATGAGCGATAAGCTGCTAAACACGCAGACCAGAAATCAAATCACAAACATCTGACATACGTCCTGGACAGAGGGGAAGGGCAACATCCGGTAGCAATGCGGAAGTCGATCAGGAACGACCCATTTTTTGAAGGCTAGAAAGGTTAGCTCAACGGCAAAGCAAACTGCTGCCGGACCAAGGCAATGTACGACATGACAGGGGTTCCAGAGCTCTGCCCGCCAACGCACCACTCGATTGGAGGGAAACTCGTCAAATTCCGGCTCCGGATTGTTCTGCCTGCTGGTCATCGATAATCGACGAGTTCACCGACTGCGTGATCAACGAGTCGGAATTGGGCACTGATCAGTTGATCAAGCCCTGTTGCTTCCAGCAAGACCACACACTTACCAGAAATTATCGTGGCTGTCCGTCGTTTCGGGGTCCTTAATATCCGGCGAAGACGCTCCCAACTGACAACAAGAACGTTTGGCAGCTTTGAGATGTTTGCAAAAGGTCATGGCAACGCCACAAGCACGTCGATTCGATGGCACTAGAAGGGCTCTTCACCGGCTGCAAGCCTGGCCCGCCGGTCCCGGTGCCATGCCATTGATCAATTGCGCCATGAAAAGTTTGCTCAATTGCTCATGTCAATTGGCTGCTCTTCAGTGAATGGGATGTAAGACAACAGCTGACGAGACGTCAGGTACAACTTGCACGTCAGATACATCACGCTGTCAAGTTGGGTGCCTGACGACCCAAAGATGAATTCGCATCAGAAGCGGCTACCCGAGCTGAGAGGTGTAGCGTGAAAGTGGTGATGGTTGCCGCGGGGGGGTTGACCACCCGTTCCGGCGTAGCATCGTGGACGTGGAGGAGGGCAAAGATATGTTACGTACCTCTAACATGTGGCATCAGTTCGGCCGTCGCTCCATTCAATGCTTCGTCGATGAGGCGGCCGTGGGATGAACCCTGTCGTGAGGATGCAGCCATACCTTATTGTGTACTTCGTTCATGCACGGGGAAGAGGCCGGTGAGGTTGCATGCTGTGCCATTGTGTGCGGTGTGGGATCTCATTAGCGGCCGTGAAAGGAACCGGAGACGGCGAGGCTGTTCCAACTCCAAGCATCATTGGGCTGGCATCAGACGGTTTTCAGGGGTTGCGGCGTGCAATTGATATCCGGGGTCTAAAGAAGCAGACCCGGCCAGACCCATCGGTTCGAAAGGGTGTGAAAGAGGAGCGAATTGGAGAAGCAAGTCGGAGAGGATGTTGAGCCGATGCGGTGGAAGTCGTTCGTCTTGCACCGAGTGAGACATTCGACATGGTTTTGCACCTCGTCGAATCAAGGCGATGTAATGAAGTGCATGCCATTGAATAGGTGGGATATTGCGATGGACCAAGATACAGACCCATTCCCCACAATGACAGGCAGGTTCAACGAAGGCTGGTTCTGGGCAGACAGACGATAATGGGCGAGCTGAATTGGAGCCGGATGCGAATGGTACAGACGTCTATCTGATACGCATCAGACTTGGGGGCATGTGCCGTGCATAGCAGTCGTGGTTGTGATCGGCCCGCAGATGTTGATGAGCCAACGGTAGGCGAATGCAGTGCTGGTGCTGGTGCTGCTGCAGCCTCAATCCTGGAAATAGTCTTGGGGCTGCATTCGCGGATGTGGGCTAGCATTTCACGCAGCAGCGATTGCACGTTGCCAGGCCGTTGAATCGCTCCATTCGTGTGCAGACAAGACAGGGCGAGAGGGGAACACAGCACGAGCTCCGAGCAGGTAGGTCCAAGGTGGAAGCGGGTGTGGGGATCGGTGATGGATGGTGGCCGCCTATGTGCCGGCCAGCGGGAGGTGATTCCAGACCCGCGCCGGCACAGCCGATGGCGAAGGAAGCAAGGTGGCGTCCTTCCGAATGTGGCTCCTGGCACAAAGGGGTCGATCGGAGACGTAAGATGAAGAGTTTGATAGTCTTTGATGGGCCATGTTGGAGAGTGCGATTGACGAATGGCTGGTGAGGGATGGGCAGAACAATGCCTTTGACGCTGATTGAAGAATGGGCAGCGAGACGTAGGACAGGAGGGTCGGTCGGCGGTGGCTGGTACGCAGCACATACGGAGGGGAGATGTGCCGTGCGTGGTTGACAGCGAAAAGAAGCAATGGGCAGCGAGTTGAGTTGTGCCCGTCGTCGCTTGGATGAGGTGAAGTTCGTGAGGTGGCACAGACGGGAAACAGCCACAAGTAGCGGCTACCTCTGCGCTTGCCGCCGTTGCGCCGACCAGAGGCGGCGGCGGTTCGTACCGACTACTGAAAAGCGGGTCGCTGTGGAGCGTCCAACGGGAAGTTAAAAGGGACGAACCAGTCAGGAGCAGGACCATGGATACCCATGTAATGCAGCTGCTGAACACAAGGCACATGCGGCTCCGGATTGGCCCCATGCAAGTTCCTTAGGCGCCATCACCCTTTCCTCGGCGCGTAGCTGTTCAACCCCGGTCCCCTGTCACCTCCTCACGGAGCAGAGAGCTCGACAGCTGTTCCCAACTTACTCACCATTTTTGCGCCGCCTACTGCGTCGATTGATTGATCGATTGCTTGCTTGCTTCCATGCCTTCGGTCCGTCTTCCCCCAACCACGCGCATTTGTCCATTCCCGCCCGCCGCTCTTCGTCGTCGGCCTCCCTGCCCACGCATTCGATAGGCTCTCGAGCCGGTCGACGAGACCGTCCTAGAGCTACTAGTGATGGCTGAGGAGGCGAATCAAGGCGACTTGTACCAGGATTCACCACTGTGACCACCGCCGAGACGAGGGGAGTCATACCACTTGCACCACTCGTACTCACGCTTCGCAGACGGGGCACGCAGCCTCCGTGCACCTACCGCGCATTGCGCATGTCAGAGCAGCCTGTAAGGCACCTTTGGCGCTCCCAGTGAACAATGCCTCTGCTAGGCTAGGTATCGCTGCTTGCTTTGGCAATGCGAGGTCAAATCATCCAGGGGGAACAAGCCCCAGCAGAGCTCCAGAGCGAGACACGCTTTGTTGGAAACAGCCCCCCGCCAGACGTCACTTCCAACCAAACACGGGACGATGCGCTTCTTCATCGGAGGTGGATTTATTATGTTGTTTGTCTTGCTAAGCCAGGGTCCAGAGAAAGCTGCTGGACCAAACACGGGACGATGCGCTTCTTCATCGGAGGTTGATCTATTATGTTGTTTGTCTTGCTAAGCCAGGGTCTAGAGAAAGCTGCTGGACCAAACACGGGACGATGCGCTTCTTCATCGGAGGTTGATCTGTTATGTTGTTTGTCTTGCTAAGCCAGGGTCCAGAGAAAGCTGCTGGACAACATGGCTTGGCCAGGGCCGTCGCAACAAGCAGTCGCAGCAAGCAACGCAAGCTGGCTGAGCGCCGCCTCGCCTCAACTTGATAGGCTGATATTCCTGTCCCTCCGTGTGCACATACGCACGCGGGCAACATCGCAAGCAGCAAGTGTTGATGCCAGCAAGGCCAGCATCGCAACGCAACGCAGTGCAGTGCAGTGCAGTGCGGTGCAGTGCAGCAAGCAGGAAAGGAAGCGGAAGACTCGGTGCGAAATACTCGAATCACCTCGACTCGCGAGAGAAACTAGCATCCAAAGACCTAATTATGGCAAAATATTGATGTACTGCCCTGCTCAGACACACACGGCTTGCCTCGACTCTCGACAATCCGCCCAACCAGGCCACCTCGCCCATCTCCACCATCCCTCGAACCCCGGTCGACTTGCTGCATTTCCCCCAATTCTGACCCCCTCGGCACGCAGTGGCTTGCACCTTGCGCACCTGGTCCGGTCCCCTCGACTGGCCTGACAGGGTCCGTCGTCGACGACCACCCCAGTCTGGTCTCCAGAGCCATGCAGCGTCTTGGCTTGACCAGATGAGCCGGACCGTATCCGCTCCTAGACACCTCGACCAAAGCAACGAAAAGCTCTAATTTTATGGTCAAGGGCTGATCGTCCAGTGACGAGCCATCTTCACCACTTAGGCGCCATGCTCCATGTTGCTTGACTCTCGTCCTATTTGGCTCCATCACATCCCCGTCCACCCCCCCTCAGGCGCAACCTCTCTTATTTTCTATCGGCCTTTTTTTCGATCCTTTCGTTTTTCCTTCCCCTTTTCTGTTGCTGCTGCAAGCAAAAGGGTATTCTCCTGTGTCATCGCTCACCAACACCTTGTGTTGCGAAAGTGACAGAACCAACCTGCAAGTCAAGCGCCGGCACACCCCCTCGAGCTCACCTTATCCAGTGAGATCTCGCTCTGCCACCAACAGTGCCGCCTTCGACAAGAGACAACTGCATCTCTTCACACCCTCCGACTGCGTCTATAGCGTCTTTACCCCCCTCAAACCGTCCCGACAGACTGTAACCTGTAACCATCTTTAACACCCCGTCTCCCAGAACTTTTTTTCTTCTCTCCCTCCTGTCCTACCTCTCTACCTGGTCACCTGCTGGAGACGTAGAGGAAATAACCCCGCGCCGTAAGAGAGAGACACTGCCATAGCACGACGGCACAACCACCACCACCTGTAACACGACGGCAAGCCGACGATACCGCCTTTTACGAAAGAAGCCTACGCCGAGCATTCGCAACTCTGGAACCCTGAAACGTGGAAGGACAGCCGGTCCGGGAACGGACATTGGGAAGTGCTTCATGTGATGGTTGAAGTGGAAGAGGTGTAGCTTTCCGACTGTTCTTGGTTCGCCACGAAGCAGCCGGACGGGCGCTGTATTGCCGCGGATTGGTGAGTAGACCTGTCTCACAAAAGTCATGCACCCTCTTCTCGGGTTGAAGTGGCTCAGAGCGGCGCCCCGCGGGCAAGGGCCTGCGGTGGTATGGTTATGTGGATGCCGTCTTCCTCAAATGCGGCTTGCCGGCTAACATCGCACCGGATTGCAGATCGAAATCCGAAAAAGGATATAGTGCCATCATGTCCGCCTCCGCGAGAAATCGAACCGGCACCGTCAGCTCCGGGAGGTCTTCAGCAAGAGGTCGCGGCAATGAGATGCAAGACTTCAACATGCCGCAGCCAAACATCTTGCGCTACTTTGAGCCATGCGCCGCCACGGCCTCCATGTTCTTGTATGCGCAAAGCTGCTCCATCGTCTGCTGCCACCACGATACCCTCACCATCGAGAGGCGGTTTTCGCGGCACTCGGACGAAGTTCGGTTACTTGCCGTTGACACCCAGAGCGAAGTCGGGGCCGGAAGACTGGTCGTGAGCTACGATGCAGGACAAACCGCCATCGTGTGGGATCTCATGACGGGCGACGAAGTTGCTCGATTTGCTTCATACGAGCATTTAACCACCGCCGCATGGATGCGTAACGGCAATGTTGCTTTCGGTAAGTATTCTGTACCAATTTCGGGGATCGAGTAACAGCTAACATGGGCAAAGGCAACACCCAGGGCAACATTATTCTATTTGAACCAACAACTTCAGAACATATCTCCTCGAGAACTATTGACCAAATTGCAGTGACGGCACTTGCACCGGCTGCAGACTGTCGAACGTTTGCAATTGGGTAAGCTTGGCAGAAACACCAAGACGTGGCTGCATGAGACTGACCCCTCGATAGGTACCAGAATGGCTCATTGCTGGTTGCCACCTTGCAGCCACGATTTACCATTCTGCACAATCTGGGCACGTCAAGAGCGCCGTCACCAATCGTGACTCTTAACTGGCACGCCTCATCGTCCCGGCAGAAATCGGACATGCTGGCGGCCCAGACCCACGACGGCGACCTCCGGGTCTGGAGCGTGTCAAAGTCGTACAGCAGCGACGACCCGGCAAAGGTTGTTCGAATCCTCAAGCGCACTGACAACTATCAAGCTGGACCCAACTGGATGGGTTGGTCAAAGAACGGCCGCATTATCCAATATTCTGACTCGTACGTCATAATCGCCACATGGACCTACGCGCGCGCTTAGGGTATGCACTGACAATCATCACCTTAGGGAAACGCTATCATGGGATGTCCGTACTAAGCATGTCACTTACGACAGCATCCCAACGCTTGAGCATGTCAGAGGCCTGGCCGTGTACGGCCCTGGTGCCAGTCTATTCACTCTTGGCGCGAACAACACCGTACAGCAGTTCGACCTCAACACTCCGTCCATCATTGTGGCCAATGTCCAGCACCCCGCTAACTTGTTGCCGCCGTCACCGCCCGTCTCCATTGAGGAACAGCAATCGCAGAAGACGTCTACCACCATTGCAACTGATTCCGATGCCACCTCCGGAACCATTGAGATGGGCATCTCTGAAAGCGATGAGGATCACATGTCACCCTTCGACCGCATCGTCGGCCGGAAGGAGACGGGCAGCACGGGGCCCAAGATGGCGCTCGATCCTTACGAGGCCGATTCCGCAAGCGCGGCTTCTAGCCGCAGCGGACATTCCATGGGACTTTCTGCGGTGTCAAAGGGTTCCGACTCCGGATCCCGGACACCCGGTGTCTATCCCTCTTCGGCCATCTCGCGAGGCACTGAAAACACGTACATTTCCGTCGGATCTTCTTTGCCATCGTCTGCCGCGCCGTACCAGGAGCGGGACATGTACTCAATGAGCGGAACCTCGATGCTGACCGGCACTTCGATGTCTTCATACCGATCGCGCCGCTCCAGGCCCTCGCGTCTGCGAAACGAGGTCATTCCGAGCCCCGTCGACAACAAGGTTGTAGACCTCTTCAAGTACACCAGGAGCCGCTTAAGCGACATTCCTTACAAGCACCCGGCCATGTCCGACAACAGTCGTCTTACTAACGATGACCTTCGCAAACAAATGCTGAGCACAATCTTCGGGTGGAACAAGGAGATTGAGGACCTGATTCGGGAGGAGATGAGCCGGCACAAGAGCGGCGCACCTGCCCGCATCCTTCTTCTCAGGTGGCTTGGGGACCTTGACGCCGATGTCTTGGCAGCCAGCTCATCATCCATGACATCTTCCGACTGGATGCTGCTGGCTCTCAGCGGTATTGGAGGCCAATCATCCCAGCACAAACTTGGGCGCACATACGTCCAGAGACTGCTTGAGCATGGGGACGTTCACGCTGCTGTTACTATTCTGATTGGCATGGGAGACCACAGCGATGCCATCGAGATTTATGTTTCCCATAAGAAGTACATGGAGGCTCTCATCCTGACTTGTCTCTTCTTCCCCGCTGTCTGGGAACGACAGGTATCCATTATCAAGAAGTGGGGAGAATGGGCGGTCATGCATGGACAGCAGCAGCTGGCAGTCCGATGGTATGTGTTTCTCATACTGACTTTGGCCACTCAGCTAACCCGATACCAGTTTCGCTTGCACCGGAGCCGAGTCCGATGAACCTTGGACTTCTCCTTCTGCTGCCCAGGTCACGTTCCAGAGCATCAACCAAAATGTCAACCAAAACATTCCTGAGATTCTGTCCCCGCCTCTCTCACCTCCTGGTGTCAATCGTGGACCTCAAAGGAGTATCGCCAAGACCTCTGCGCTGAAGCTCATCACCTCGTTCGGCGACCAGGGAGGCAAGTCAAAGTTCTTCTCCCAGGTTGATGGAGGCCAGACCCCGATTGCTGCCGGTCCTACTCCCATCGCCGACTCGGCTGTCTCGCCAGGCGGCTTCGACGTCACGACTGCATTTATTCGACCGCCCAACCGCAGCCAGTTCAATACGCCAAACTCCGCCAGGTCCGGTACCTCTGCCTTCAGCCGCAAGCGTCTCCCTTCCATCGGCGAGGTTCCTGGTGACCTGTCGCGTGAGCAACTCAAGCCCGATGGGGGAGCCGTCCACGTACGCATGTCGTCCGCCGAACAAGACAACCTCGCTGCCGGTCTGACTTTGCAGAGAGCCGCCACGGCTAGCCCCATGATGATGCGCGACCAATACAAGATGCTGACCATTCGTTCGAGAGACCCCCCGCCCCCCTCCCCTGATGCCAGGATGATTGTCAAGATGGAAGGTAGCTTGCACCAGCGAAACGGCTCTCGGGACCGCAAACCGAAGGGACTCCAACTCGATCTAGACGGTCTCGACAATCCCATGGCGAACGAGACCCTCTCCCCCGAACAGTCAATCTCTTCCTCAACCCGGTTTCACTGGCCCTCTCGACGACGTGGCCCCGGTTCCGTCACCAGCTCCGTCAACTCTCACTCCACCGCTGGCAGAAGCTACCGTAGCAACACCACTGGTGGCAAGCAAGACTACATCCATAGTCTCGACACCGCCCAACGCCTTCAACAACGCAAGCAGCGCAGCCGTCATGGAAGCCGGGAGGGTAGACGAGACGGCTCAAGCGGTCGAGACCGTGAGCACAGCCGCAATCACAAGACGGCTTCCCGCGAAGCCTCGGCGGAGCGTGGTCGAGCTTCCAATCGTACTTGGCCCAAGCCTAAGCGTTCTCCTACCTCGCCCATTCCCATGTCGCCTGAGGACCTCATCAACCTGAGTACCCCTAAGATGCTGCCCGAGTCCATGGATCCCGCCACTGTGAGGAAGGCAAGTAGCAGCCGCAAGGTAGCCAGCCGTACTTCAAGCCGAGGCAGTCAAATTCGCCACAGGAGCCCTGAAAGCAAGCACCGCCCTCCTGCGCTTGACCTCCGGGGTCGTAGCCAAGATCGCACTGGCTCTCACGTCAGGTCTCCTTCGTCACCTCTTCCCCTTTCCGCCAACCCAGCGCACTACCAGGGATCCGAAGATGAGGAAGACCTCGCCTTGGCTGTCATCGCCCAAGAGAACTTCCGGAACAGACACAACAGGAGCACAAGCCAGGTCGAGTCTCGCAAAGCACTTTCGCCCGAACTTATCAGAGAGTTCCCCCAACGTGATCGATCTGAGAGCCGACGTCGCCACGCGGTTGAGAACATCGAGCAGCCCCGCGATGTCCTTCCTGTTCAGACCAAGTCGCGTGCTCCGTCGACTGAGCATGCCGGAGATCTCAAGGCCATGAAGGATGAGAGACAGAGAAAGAAGGAGGAGGCTGCCCGCGAGCTTGAGGAGCGTCGCAAGTCCCTGGCACAACGCCCTTCAGCGCCTCCTATTCCTCATCCCAACCAGATCCGCATCGGCATTGAGCCGCCGCCGAACAGCCTTGATCTCCCTCCCCGCAGCCACACTGCCGACTCGCCTTCAGTCCACCATAGGAGCATGTACGCCCGCAGCTCCAACGTCCACATCGGCCTGCCGGCAACCCCCAAGGCTATGCGCCTCATCATCGAGTCCGACAAGGAGAAGGCAAAGAACATCCCGGTGCCTCCGATCCCGGCCACCTTTGCGCAGCGACACTCTCCTGTGACTTCGCCTAACCAGCGATCTCCCGAGAAGGAGAAGGAGGGCGACCTTCTTACGCTCCTCCCGCAGACAACCTACCAGCCTCCCGTCCGCGGTATGATTCCTCGCAGCATGTCTGCTCCGCCCATCGACGTACCCTCTCCCAAGACCAGCGGACCCAGTGCACTCTCGCGCGGCCCATCGATGCGACGAGGAAACTCGGGAGAAGTCCATCTCTTCCACTCCAGGCGCGCCTCTCAGGAGGACAACGACGACATGAGCGTTCCTCCACCGCCGCCTCCTCCACCCATGCTGAAGGAGCTGCAGCACCTCGCCATGCCGCCTCCCCCGCCGCCGGCGCCTTTGCCGTACGCCGCCCACAACGGCGCTGGCGCCATCGGCTCTGGTATGATTGAGATTGTCATGGACGATGATGAGCCCGCCACCGCTGCGCCCATGGACACCGCCGTCCCCGTCATCCCGGCCCCGGCGGCCCCCGCATTCAAGGGCCACAGCCGCGGTCGCAGCTTCAGCGAACGTGAGAACGGCTTTGCTGGCCGCATCTCCAAGGCTACCGACCGCTTCCGATCGGGAAGCCGCAGCCGCAAGGACTCCGTCGCCATGCGTCCCAGACAAGACAACTACGAGGTTGCACCTTACGAGAGCGTGCCCATGCCCGTCAATTATGGCCGTGAGACCTTGAGATCTCCCATCAGCGCGCAGAGACAAAAGACGCTCCCCACCGGTCTCAACGCCAGCGACCTCATCTAGGCCATGCCAGCCTACCAAACACCCCAACCACCACCTTAATATTCACTTACCCCCTCCTGATGTTTCGATTCGATTCGTTGCATGGCGACTGGCGTTTTTCGATGAACCTTGATACCATTACTTTTCGACAACAGAGGAACACGACCATTCGCGGTAGTGCAGCATCATCTCCGATGCCACGAAAGCCGACAGATGAAAAAATCCCGATTAGAAAGTGCCGTTTTGTACACTTCAAGTCTATCCTTGAACACTTTTCTCTCGAGCGCAGAGCGATTCTACCTACTACTTCTTTTCTTTCCTTCCTATCTACAACTTGTTTCATTGGTTTTTTTTTTTTTTTTTTTTTTTTTTGCATTTCTTCCTTCTCAAATGATGACTGATGATGGCTGGATCTTGGACTGGGCAAAGCCGCGAGGCAAAGGACAAACATGATACCGTGAGCGGCGATGTACGTGATAGGACGGACACACAGGCCGGGGGCGAGGGAGATATTTGGGGGATACGAGAAAATTTTATGTTGAGAAAAAGGTGAGGGGTTTGAGACAGGTCGACGCCGGCTGTCTCGCCTCAATTTCGAGATTGGAAAAGATGGAGGGGGAGGGGACCGAAAAGTGCTGGAAACGTTCGTCTTACAATGTTGCCCCACGGCATCTTTGTTCATCTAGTTGGAGCAGGGGAGACATCTATCCGCCTGCGTTTCTTTACATCTTGATTTTTCTACTTCTTGCTTCCCCCTCGCCGTGGGAGTGTTGACTCTTTCCTTTGGTGAGGATGATATTGTATGTAGTTGCTCGATTCAGGATGGCCACGTACAGGCTGAATATTGAGAAGGATGCAATTTGACATCGAGTTTGCAATTATTTATTGAAAAGTCTGAATGAGACCACCTGCTGTATTATTGCGACGACGTTTCCTGAAGCTCCTTGGTCGTCTGCGCCGTCCTCATCGTCTCCGCCGTTGTCGCCGTCTGCACCACCCCCATCTGTCCAGGGACAAACCAGCCTCAAGCTGACCTCAGTGCACCAAACCACATAGACAGCAAGGGATGATATCATTTGAACGTAGTTCGTCTGATTTGATTAATTTAGACCCTGGAGATATGCGCAAAAATAAAACAAAGCTTGATGTTGGGATGAATCGAACCATGTGTGTGCAACACTGTGTACATCCACCCACTGAAGGCATCGCGAACTTCAGCAAGCAGCGCTGCGATGCAGCATGCATGTATCACCACCACACAATCAATCAATCGTTCATATAGGATGCGACCGACAGGAGAGATTGCAAGTGCATACTTACTTACATACATATATGATAATGCATCTATCGTCTCGCCTGACCGACGACGATCGTCAACATCAATCAATTATAAAAAAATAAAAAAAGAAACGGAGTTGACATCTCCATCTTCAGCCACTACCCCAAGCCCTTACCGATCGTAATCCAGCACGCCATGCGACGGTGATGATGTCTCTGCAGAGTGAAGCCTCCCTCAAGTGTCATCATCATTGCTTAGGGCTACCGCAGCATCGCAGGTTACCCGTGCGAGTGAGAAGCCACCGCAGCATTCGCACTGGGCGCCACTAAGGGGTTCCAATGGAGATGGGGTAGCGGGAGAAGAATAATGAAAGCCTTCAACCAACTTGACCATTACAGCCGGTAACTACCGCCAACTTTCTGAACCATATACCCTCTGGCGCTGGTGGGACGTGCGCAGTTGGCTGCTGGGTGAGTGGACATTACGTCAGCTGCCCCTTCCTTGGTGCTGGTGCCACGGCACTGCTGAGAGGCGCGCGACAGGGGACAATGGTAGCTGATCGTTCAGAGCTTCAACGTCCAAAGTTGCAATTGCGCATCCGTTCGATGCCGAGTTTACCCTCAGAGAAGATTTCGTCTTCTCAGAGCTGCCGCAACATCAATGGCACGATAATTGCGACCTTGCATCCTCCGCGACACCCGGCGCATCGCCCAAGATGCTCACGACCTCCCCGCGCCTCCACGTCCGGCGCCCCTCGCCCACGACGGCTGAGTTCACAGTGACCACCCGCCCGCCGCCAACCCTCGCCGTCAGGACCCTCTCTCTCCTCCTCCTCATCCTGCGCATCCTCGTCTTCTTCTCCTCGATCCTCCTCCTGCGTGCCGCCTGGGTCCAGTCCCCCAACGCAGCTTCCTTCCTCACGCCACTGCGAACTTCGCGAATCCACCGAGACGAGTACGCGGAAGACGGCTTCTTCTCGGGCGAAGCGCTCTCGCAGTTCCTCCGGCTCGTCGACGACTCTGTCCCCGGCCGTCTGGCCCAGCGCCTCGTCTCCGCCAACACGGTGCCCCTCCCCGTCCTGGTCGCGGGCTGCGTGGTCGCGGCGTACGCGACGCTCCTAAGGACGCATAAGACCGAGAGCCTGCTTGTTCTGCGCGGGCTGGGCATCCAGACGAGCTCGTCTAGCGGGAGCTATCTATACGCCGCGGCGACACGCTTCATACCGACGGAGAAGATCCAGGACGTCCTCGTCAACGAGGCGTTCAAGGGCTTTGAGGTGCGGTACTACCTGATTGTCATCGTCGAAGGGGAGGAGGACCTAGTCGTTGTGTTTCCCCAGATCCTGCCTCGGAAGAAGATCGTCGAGAGGGTGTGGAGAGGGGTCAGAGGCTGTCTGTGGGAAGCAGAAGGCGGCGGTAGTTACGGCGGGGGCAATCGCAAGATAGACGAGAGATGGCAGAGCTGAACAGGAGCTCCCATAATGAAATCATGAACTTTTTCCTCATTTGTTTTTATAATTATACTTCAGAAGGATGCGGCATCTTATTCATCAGCTTCAGCCGCAGCGGCCGCCCTCTTCGCGACCTTGGCATCCTTGATAATCTTCCTCCAGTTCTTCGACTCCTTCATCTCTTCAGAGTTCTTGAACCCCTTTCTCTGCGCAAACCGGTCGTTGATCTCGGCCGGCGTCGGCGTCAACTGCTTCTTCATAATCGGTACATACTCGCCCGCCAGCTTGCCCGACGGCCCGCCTCCAAACACTCTCTTCCCCTTCGCCTGATTCTTCGTCCCCTGAACCTGCCCCGACACCAGGTCAAGCAGCCTGTTGGCCAGCAGCTCGTCCATCTTCTTCGTCCGGTAGTACGTCCAAAGGTTCTCCACGATGTCCGCCTCGCCGTACACCCACTTCAGCGCGGTCTCGCCCTCCTGCGTCCGACTCTCCCTGTCGCCGGGGAACACGCAGTTCCACAGGACCAGCGGCGTGTCGTTGGCGAGGTCGTAGTTGGGCTTCCGCGGCGTTTTCTCGACATCCAGCAACTCCCCCACGAGCTCGGGCTTCTCCAGCCTCTGCCCGACGAGGAACAGGATGGAGACCATGTGGCGAATCTGGTGCCACAGGAAGGCCGTCCCATGGATGTTGAATGAGTACACCTTGGGCAGCTTGCTCCCGTCCGCGGAGCTGAGGCCGAGGTACGGCAGCGCCGAGCCCACGTCCTTGACCTCCTGCACCCCCGCCTCAAACATGCGCCGCTCAAAGTTGGTGATCTGCTTGCCACCGTCCACCTTGCAGAAGTTGCGGAAGTCGTGGTCGCCGACGAAGAGCTGCGCCGCGGCGTCCATGGCTTCGATGTCGAGGTAGCCTTCCTTCAGGCCGTCTGCGGAGACGCCTGTTGTCGGCGCGAAGGCGGGCTGGGTGAAGAAGTAGCGATACCGTCTCTCCTCGCAGGAGAAACGCGCCGAGAAGCCTGGCGGGGGGGAGGGACACCACGCAAGTATGCGGATGTCTTCGGGCAGAAGGCGGTTGAGGGTCTTGATGTAGTCAATCTCCTTTTCGTCTGACCACTCCACCTCGGGCTTCTTCTTGGTCTCCTCCTCGGTTTCTGTTTTTTCGGCGGTTCCCTCCATTGGCGTATCCGCATCCCCTTCCGTCGGAGCAGGCTCCGGCTTGGGTAGCGGCTTGCTACTCCTGACCCTCAGCCCAATGACCTGTCCAAACGCACTCACACCACGATCCGTACGGCCACATTTCGAGTACTCGCAGCAGTCAAAGTTGACCACGGCCGGGTCCTCAGGGAAAATAAGACACGACTTTGTGAGAGCGTTCCACAGCTCGCTCTCGATGGTGGGCAGAGCCGACGATTCGGCGTGCTCGAAACCACCATACCGCTTCCCCAGATACGCCAGCTTCAAGGCGATGAATCGCGTGGAGTACCGCGAGGGATCGATCCCCTTCTTCGTCTTGCGCTTCTTTGCCGGCGGGGGTGCAGCCGCCCCGTCAACGGTCTTGGAGGCTGCGGCCTTTTGCTTGTCGAGTTCATGCTCGAGGTGTCGTATGCGGGAGATGAGACGCTCCTTTTCCCATGAGTCGTACTTTCCAGCCACCTCGGCCATCTTTGCGGCCTGTGAGGTGCTCAGGTATCGTGTGGGGGTGTGGGCGATGAGACGGGGACTGAGATGGTGGTGGTGGCGTTGGCGTTGATGGGCGTGGACGGGTAAAATCTTTCGGCAATCGTGTAATAGTCTATCCAGGCGTCTCAATAACAGCAGACTCTGGCTTGGCGGTCGATGCAGAGTTGAGCCCCAAAACAAACCGTGTAAGGGCCTCATAAGCCTGCTGCTCTTCTTCATATGACTCCGACGTTAAATTTTGGAGGGGTTTAGGCCGGCTCCATGCGGGTACCTTTTTGCTGCGGGCTGTCACTGGAGGGAGGGGCAGTTAACATGGGCATTTTTGAAGAACAAAAAATCCGCCCATTAAAACAGAGTGTGGCTGATGTTTAGTCCATCAGTGGCTGGTTTCCACCTTGATTTGAGGTCTGGACCGGTGTGACGGGACCGGGGGGCCGTTTGGCGGGCAGTGCGTCGAACTGTGTCTGGACCGGTCGGCAGCTGAGCCAATTTGTTCCAGACATCCCGTTATCAGGACGACAACCGAGTCAATTCCGAGACCGCGGACAACCGCAGCCATGGACGGAGATGCCATCAAGATATTGCTAGTTGGAGATGAGAAATGTGGAAAGAC